CACCCCTCCCTGCCCATCTGCCCTCGCTTCATCCCCCTTTTCTGGTATAAGTAGTTGATCTAAACTAATTAAAAAACTAAACATGATTAACGTATATTTGTTTGCAATGGACAATTTAGGGTTAAGGTTCAGCATCATCACTTTCTGGGTCTAAGCTGTTGCCGCAAAAATTGCCAGTACAATTCCTGCAACATGCAGTGCATTTGAGCCTCGACTTCCTACTGCTACAAGCATTAGAACACGTTTCTTTGCAACCGCAAAACAGCATTTTCAAAATGAGATCCGGTCCACAGGGTTTTTCCATTCTTACGGGCTCCAAGACATTGTTTTGATTCGTAAACCAGCCAGTCTTTAGGGTTCAATTCCTCACCCATCCAATTCTGGACCTGTAGATACACCCGTCTCAAATGGAATCTAGCAGCATGCGATGTAGGAGGTAATGTTGCTAGCTCGAAATTGGTAAAGAGATTCTGCCTTGCCACGACTTGGTTGTACTTGATGTACCGGTAGTCATCGAGCGTTTTGCGTTTTTTGGCACCGTACCACTTCAATATAAATGCTTCTCCTTGTTTGAGAAGCTCATCCATTCGGTAGTTATTTGAAAATATTGCCCCAGGAGGGGGCGGTAAACTAAAATTTGGATTGAAAATTGTTGAATCGATAAAGAATAATTAGTCTTTGACTCTTTGGTCTATAAAGTTCCAATGAATTTCGCCTATCGGATAAATCGAATTATTCGCGAAGTTATTCGTGTATAGTGCGATTATTGATACAATATAACTCCCTTAGTTTTCAATCGATTTCGAGAAATGAAGAAGCATTGGATTTGTATTTTAAAGCTTCACAAATTCCCTTTCCTGACTTTTTCCGAAAAAAATAATAATAACAAAGCTATTAGCAAAAAACATGAAAATCCAAGATGGCGGCTCAATTTTCAGGATGTTCCACACCTCGGAGATATGGGGACTTTTAGTATGTTAAAGAGCATTATTGGTACTACTAATTTCGGGCATCGCTTGCTTGTCCCGAATTTGTTCTAGGTTGAACTCTAATTTTACTCGACTACAAATTTTTTTGTAGATTGTGCACAGCAAAAAAAAGTTTTTCGAATAGTTTAATAAAATCTTTGCGTTGCTATTTGAAAAAAGTTGTATGACGTCAAGGCGCTAAAAATCGTAATCGGTTCATTCGTTTCCGAGATATCGTGCTAGCGGACAGACGGACAGATACCGCAAAATTATACTCTCTATGTTATGGATCTCAATTCAAAACTTGAGCGGAGGTTGCAATTTTAGTTGCGACACCTTGCACCGATAAAAGGAATAATGCAATTACGAGTACTCCCAGCACTTCACGCGATCACCGACAAACATGTATTTCCCAGCAAATGAGATGTTCGTATTATCCTCGGTTAATCTGCGGTATTATCATCCACTTCGTGATAACTATTTTAACTAATTATGAAAACGAACTTTACGCACCTTATTTTTATCAGGACACCTTCTTCACATGCATTAATTATTTAAAAATGGGAATTCGGGAATAATGTAGGAATAAACGTATTTTTCACGGGCAATGCAATCACTGTCGATGTTATTAATTGTGGATTTCGTAAATTTTATCAAAAACCGAAGGCCGTAACAATAAAAAAGAATATTACAGCAAATGAACAAAGTAGGTACCTAATACCTAGATAGTAAATTTTTTTCTCGGTCTCAAAACGTCTTAATGTGTATATTTATGTTTTAAAAAGAGTATGAGACAATTCGCCCACTCCTTTAAAAATGCACTCGAAATAACCTACTGCATCTAATTATAAGCTATTTCAGTCGACTTTAATCCTACGATTAGATAGACACGATCATGTTGACAGATTGGTTGATTTTGAAGGGTGCTTCTCAAGAGTTGCATAAGAATCTTTGCTGCGGGAAATTGCAATTCATAAAATGCACAGAAAAGAATTCAGTTGGATATTGCACATTTGCCCAGTATTTTTAACGTTAGAGCGTTAAAAATAGCGAGGTAAATAAGGACGTACGGAATTTTCAAATTGTATGAGCGCCTTATAAGCCTTTAAGACTAATTTTAAGTATTTTTAAATATTTCTGTTAGTCGCATAGTTCGTAAATGATTATAGTTACTGAAATAGTTCTGTTTATTACTTGGCAAAAGTTGGATTATATTCTAGATTCTATGGCAAAAATAGAAGCAGTCTCATGCGGCACGAGTCAATAGTGACATCACAGCTACAACGTTACTTCGTCTAATTGATACCTTTCTGGGAGTTGATTGCCCCATTCCAAATGACGTACAGGAGTCATGTGCCAAGACGTGATTATTGTGATTTAAACGATCCCGGAATGAGGACATCGGCATTTATCCCGTTTGTGTCGGAAGAGAGACGGAAGGCAGTCGTGGATAGAATTGGTATTCCGATGCAAAAATAAATAAATTCGATTAGTGGGGGGCGCAGGGTTCGAGGACGGCCACCAGCATAAACGGAGCATAGTGTGCGATACCGCAACCTGGGTCCGAATCCTCTAGTGCAGGGCCCACGCGTCGGGCGATCCATGACGACGCGCGTTACGTCACCTAGGATATGCAGCAGAGGCGTTGGGTGTTGGCGTTTGAGTACCTGTAGAACATTCATGTCCGGCGCTCATTCAGATCCCGTCAGTGTTTCCAGAGTGCGCGAGTTTTCCAGTAGTGAATTGCGGCATGGCAGCGGAGGCACACTCCGGTGCCCGACGCCGTCAACATGTTAACACTTATGATGCGAAGGGAAGACGACGACTTGAAGGGTGACGCCTACACTCGCCAACGAACTCGGGATAATGCAACAGGTGGTGACGAATTTGTGGATATTTCTCAAGTGCAACAGTTGTTGCTCGATTCTCCTTCGAATGGAGGACAGACTCGAGGAAGAAGAAGTGAAGCCCCAACGCCGCCAGCGATAGACAATCGTACGAGGATGCTGGAAACTTATTCCACGCCACACTATTACCATGGTGGCTACGGACACCAACATCACACAGCGCCGGCCACCAGCGTGGATGATTTGGTGGCGATGTGGTTTGCCGGCCCTTCTACGTCCGCAGGTGTGTTTCTTAATGGAGTGCTGCATGTAAAATGTTGCATTATATGTCCGACTCGCTTTTCTTGTTAATGATGTTGTTTTAATGGCATTTACGCACAAATTTACTAATATGGAAGTTCTAACCTGTTTCGTTTACACACATTTACCTAATTTAAGGCAGATGCCACGATTGTCCCTGCTAACTTAGAATTTTAGTGGCTTCCAAATTAATCTCAAAATTGCAGCACCACACCAATCATTTTGACGCCCACAGATCCGATATAATTATTGCCTATTTTAGTATCACCTTATACGGTTTTACTTACATAATAATACTGTACATACTTTTATATTCGACTTTACACCACATCAACCTTAAAAACCCACTCAATTTATTCAAAGCTCCAACGCTCTAGGATACGTCACTTCATTTATAACTGGACACATGCACTTACTTATGCAAGTTTAGTTGTAATTCAACGTTCATGCACACACTCGATTTTTGAATGTAATAACCCGAAATTGAAAGTACAAGGTAATCAATATAATCAAGACTAGAGGACTTTTTCACGTTACAAATTAATTTAAATTGCTAAAAGGATACTGATTTCAATGCATTTGATTGTATGTCTTTAGTAAGAACGTGGGGTATACCGCGCTGCTTGCAGCAAGGTTTCATTGAGAACTTCTTTCTGAATGAAGTAGGTAGTAATCGAATGATGCGATTACACAAGGAAGTTGTAAATTAAATTAACGTTTTTTGATAGATTTTACAACACCTTCTAAATCCTATCGGACGAAATGTTTCGAATTTGTAAACCGTGCTTAAGCTTTCTGTGCATAGTTTCGCACATTTTAAACAAGTAACGATAGGTTGGTAAGTTCCGTGATTATGTTTAATTCGGGTTCGCTGGAGATACCTAATTTACGCAAGTAAACTACAGTTTGATTTTACTCCGGAAGTGTAGTAACAGGAGACCATCTTCGCGCGTAGTATGTTTTAGGGGAAGAGGGTTGCTGAAGGTGGGGATGAAATCGTTGTCGGCGCCATACTGCCTGGAGGGGTTGAAAATCATGAATGAATTGACGTCACTACGCGAAAGCTTCGATTTTACTGGGGCACCCTTCACAACATAAAATTACCGCGGAGAAATATCGATTGTTATTCCGCACTTGAATCGTTCATTGGTTTAAAATGTGCCAATATCTACTATAAATTGTTATATAATAGGGATGCGTCAACGTCATGGGAAATCTCTTAGTGTTGGTGGTTGTATTTGGCGTCTGACTCAGACCAGAAGTCGATGCCAGCTGATATGTATTTTGGGCCATGATTCTAAGGATCGTTGTTATTTTTAATGTGTGGCAACAGATGTTTTTTCAAAAATAGTACGCTTTATTATTTTGCTCATGATGCGTGTTTTAAATTTGCAATATTGAGCGTCACGCATTCTTTGCGAAGCTTTTAAAGACTGTAAGGCTGATGAAGTTTATTTGGTATTTCTTATAGGGTTGTAACTTTTGAACTGTCATTGCAATTAAATTCGACTTGAATGCGTCGTGATAATACGCGAATAGGGAGTCTTCACCCCGTTATTGAGGTGGCATTTACCCTAAAAGCTACAGGTTTTTACTGTTTACTTCCGAGAACTTGGATTGTTTGCACGGGGTGGTTAATTAGTGCTTGTAAGTCGATAATTATACGATTTTTCTATGTAAAAGGTCAATTTTAATTCGGTTTGAGTCTTAAAAGTGGTTATGAAAGCTTTAGGGTGAACTATATGCGGAGATGGGTTTAAAATTTAAGCAGTTGTTTGCATGTATATCTAAGCGCCGTATTACGTCACCGCGACGTCAAGTTACATTGCTGTAACAGTGGGGATCGCGATGGAGGGGGATCTGCGGCCTCCCAATAGACTTCTTTAGTGTGACGTCAGTCCGCCATTTTTGTTAAGTTGGTCAAGGTTTACTTTCCAAACAAATTTTGTTACACAGTGTTTTTACTAGTAGCTTTGTTATTTAGTGCCTTATTTTTAATTTTAACGGGTTTTTGTGCATTCGTTCTTTATTTGTGGACTAAGGTAAGCATACTCTTTGAATAATACAATAATTTTTATGCAAATTACGAAAAAAAACTGTTTGAAATTGAAATAATGTTAAAAGTGAGGTTAGGTGTATTTGTTTATTTAAAGTTTGCAATAGATTTAATGTATAATTTAACAGATTTATTTGCTTTTTTTTAATTGTCTGCGAATGTTTATGTATAGTAGTAATGGATTATTTATAGATGGTGATGTGTTTTGTTCCCGATTGCAAGCACTACAGCGAAAAGCATGCCTGTCGGTTTTTCACCTTTCCAAAAGATGCCAATGAAAAACGAAGGTGGATAAAATTAATTAGGTTTGTAGTTAATTTGCAGATTTATTTGTTTATTGATTATAATTACCATAGGCGAGATGATAGAAACCCCACTTCTCACTCATTAGTATGTGGTTGCCATTTTAAGGACGGTAACAGAAGCAATGGACCTACAATTTTTGAAAGGAATAAGGGGAAGCTTTTTGATGTACCTGAGGTTGAAGTTAGGTAAGTACCTACTCTATGTAATTAGACCAATTGTGAGAGGAGTTGCACCTTGCACTAATTGCTGGTACAGGTGCGTACTCACTTCAGCATCTGGGCCGAATGAGCACTGTCCGCACAGAACGAGAATTTAGGACAGAATATCAAGGCGAATTGAGGGTGCAGTAAACGTCTGTCCATCAATGGAAATTCGTGGTCAATTTGTTCAGCCTGATTTATTTCTAAATTCAAGAATTTATTGTCAAACTACCAGTAATTATTGCAAGTTCGACCTCTCTCAGCACCTCTCACAACTGGTCTAAATTTTAGATATAGGTTACTGCCGGAGAAAATCAGAGAATCATGTTTATACCCATGGGTTTTTGACAAAACATAAGCACAAACTGCAAATTTTAATGGTAAAGTAAGCAAAATCTTGTATTGAAAGAGATGCCATCATTTTTTATTATACATCTGTTTGTGAAATGAAGTTCACCTAAAAATTTATATCACATTTTGCTGCTTAAGATGTATTAACCTAGGTATTAACAGTAAACATCCCAAAATAGTAAATTTTGAATTGTTTTCAAATGTGTTACTTAAATTAAAAATTGTTGAGTCAATTTGCCACGTAACAACATCCCTGATGCGTAGCATGAAGGATTGGGAGTGGAAAATTGACGAGAAGCAGCACAATTTGCCAAAAAAGTTAACGAAAGTTTAAATATATCAACCTTTCAGGCACAGAAAGAAACAGCAACCAAGAAGTGCTTCACCAGCAGTTGCTGGGCCATCATGGCTACCTGATCCTGTACCATTGGAAGAGCACCAACCTGAAGAACCTGCAAAAGAAGTGATTGAAGAAAGCTCAACATCTGCTCCTACAGTTCTGCCAGAATTCTCAGCTATGCTGGAAGCTCAAGTTTATTTTCTAGAAAAAGAAAACAAAGAGCTAAAAGAAGCACTAGAGAAGTGTGCAGGCAAATTATCCTTTGCAGCAATTGCAAATACAGATCATTTAATTTCTGTATATACCGGAATCCCAACCAAAGATATTTATTTGGCTCTATATTCTTTAATGGAAAACCACGAGTTAAATTATTATTATAAGTGGAATGTAGTAACAATACCAAAAATTGATCAATTGTTAATTACTTTAATGAAGTTGCGCTTAAATTTACTGCTGGACGACCTCAGTGTTCGATTTGGGGTTACAAAGGGGACTATTTCCAACATCGTAAAAACGTGGATGTTTGCATTACACGAAGTGCTATTTAAACACTTTATGGCAGAAGTTCCAACAACCTCAAAAAATAAATGCTGTTTGCCTAGCTCCTTTAACTCCTTCACTAACTGCAGGATGATTTTGGACTGTACAGAGATGGCATGTATTCATCCACAAAATATGGAGAAGCAGAGAGCAACATACAGCAGCTACAAACATAGAAATACGTTGAAAGGGTTAATAGGTGTAGCACCCAATGGAGTCATAACTTATGCAAGTAAGCTGTATCCTGGTTCAATATCAGACAAAAAAATTGTGCAAGATAGTGGAGTATTGAAGGTATTTCAACCTGGAGATCTGATTCTTGCAGACAAAGGGTTTTTAATTGCAGATCTTTTACCACAAGGAGTGCATATTAACACACCACCATTTTTATGTTCGGCACAGTTTACACCAGAACAGGTGATTATGACACGAACTATAGCACGAGCTAGAATTCACGTCGAAAGAGCCATTAGTAGAATAAAGTGCTTTAGAATACTGAATATGATTCCCCAAACACTTATTCCACATGCGTCCATTATTTTTCAATTGTGTGCAGCAATAACAAATTTACAGTTTCCCTTAATTAAAGAGGTTGGAGAAATGTATTTAGAATAAGTTATGGTATTTTTATTAAGGTGTTTAGTCATTTTTATGTTACTCTTATAGATTTTAGAAATAGGTATTTAGATTTTATGTTCCATATTATAGCGATAATTTGTTAATAAGATATTAGATTGAAGGAATAATACAATGAATATATACATATATAATAAGTAAAGGTAAAAATAAATGTTTAAAATTTTGAATTTTCTATTAAATATAATACATAATGCTGTAAATAAAAATCTTTTAGTGTTTCAAAATTTTCTTCCCAACTTTCTTCTTTATGTATTTCTTTAATAATTAATTGTTTTGGCGTCCATATAACTAAATAGCATAAATTGCGTTTTGTTAATGCCAATGTCCCTTGAATTTGGGCATAATAATCATGGTCAACATTGACGAGAATGTCGTGATTGTCAGTCAAGTATATAATATACTTTTTGTCTTTTTTCAGCTCTTCTAATAAATCCTTATCCCTAAATTTATAGGGGCATTTAACTTCGACTATGGCATCATCGTCCACCAATCCATCAGGACTCGCTCCCAAAAATCCACAAGAGTGAACCCAAAGCCCTGTGGGAGTGACTTTACGATCATAGGCTTCGCAAAACTCTTTTATGGCAATTGTTTCGTGATTTTTGCCCCACTGAATAGACTTTACACCTTCCAAATTGTATGATTCTAAAAATACAAGATAAATGTTAGTTTATCACAAAGTAGTTGTTTATTATACCTGTTAAGCGTCTAAATAGAGATATCGGAAATTTACCACCGCGACTGCCTCTTGCATAGGCCTTTAAAATGGCTCCAAAGTTACTTGCTGTTAGGCGATTTTTCCTTGCCGTAAGCCAACTTGCATTTGTTGATTGCCCTGTTGTGGCCCGTACAATAGTTTCAATGGATGTATCATCCAAAAGTAATTGTGATAATAAAAAATTAGTTTTATCCAAAGCATTTAAATAATGCTCAGAAAAAACAATGGATTCAATGTCCAATAAAAAACTCTGTTCTGATGGAGGTTCAGGTTTCAAAAGCCAACTAAAACCAACTGCTCCTCCGTATTGTTCTAATTGAGAACGAAAATTTGATGTTTCTTCAGCAGTCGGTTTACGATTTGTTGTCTGGTGTTCTCGGACTGGATAGTAAAAATCAACTGCATGCACTTCTTCTTTTTGCTTCATCACATTCCACTTGCATGCTACATCTGTTACTGATATATTGTCACGAGCAAATACACAAAGCGCAGCCATATGATGGCACAAGTACAGCCCCCTCGGGCATGTACATGTAGCACTCTCTATGTGCCTACTAGCATCCAGTTGGATCTTAAAAATGGACACAAAAAATTAAAATGATGTAAAATTTTATTATTGAACTTACATTAACAGTATAAAATCGTTTTCGCATGCTGGCAAAGACTTCACCGTTTATGCATAATAATTCGGCATTAAATTGGTATCTTTTAATCCGATTAGACTTAACCGAATTTTCACCCTTACTCAATAGAGTAAGCTCTTCCTTAAAGAACTCAGCAATAGCTCCTAACAGTAAAACATGGGCCATCCTGTAAAACAAAATTTAAAAACCGACATTAACATAACCTATACACATAAGGTTTTTAATTTTTACTTAGTTTTTCCATATAAAACAATGACCAGAAGTTATAAATTATACTTGCCTGATGTTAATGCTTTATTTTTTAATACTCTTCAGTGTATAAATTACCTAAAATGCTTTAAAACTAATAAAAACGTGAAAACTCCCAGGTTAAACTTCAATTGTTTGGAAAGCGCACCTTGACCTTTTTAACAAAAATGGCGTTAGTGACGTCAACACTAAACGAGTCTATTACGAACTATTTTCAGCTCCCTTCCGATTACACAAAATTACGCAATCCGCCGGTAAGAAAAAAAAATTTCATTGAAAGGTTCGACAGATTCCGTTAGCAGTTTATTTTTAGTAACTGTTTTAGTTTTCAGTGTCGGAGTTCAATTTCCGGGATACCGATTATCCTTTTTCGGCTTAGGCTGAATTTTTCACTAGTATATAGTCTCCCCCCAGAACCTTACGGGTGCTGCTTGATTTTTAACTTTTTACTGTTCGACGTGAATGCTATTCGTGCCTTAACGCGCATTGCCCTCCAATACGTAACTTGGAAGAAAGAGTTTAACGGACTAACCTTCATTTTTTCAATGGAACACCTTGTATATTTTAATTTATAAATTTTCTTATCAAAAATATGATATACCAATGATAATTTTCAAAAAAGTTTCAAAAGTGATTAGAAGTGTCACAATACAAGCAGGACCAGTTCAAGATCGCCCGCTATTTACCGGCCAGCGTCAAAAGTAGCTCAAGGTGAAATCAAAGGTCACCCGCGTCCTGTCATAAGTGAATTACTGACCTCATAGTTGAGACCTGCTTTTGTGGCACTTCAATAACTTTGCTTTTGTATATAAGCTGACCCTTTCCTCTCCTGTTGCTGACCGACCGAGTTGTACACAGGCGCGCTTCATACGTTAATAGTTTGTCGTGGAACTTACCTCGAGAGTAACCTTTGAACTTCTCCTTGATCTATATTCTAATGTAAGAGGTGGGGTTAGGGACCGTTTAACTGATTGGAAGGACGATGGCGCGGAGAGAGTGGCGAAAGCTACATTTGCATTTCACCTTTACTTAATTTCCAAGGTCACCACCAAGAGATGCATGACATTTGGGTTTTATCTCGAGTTACTTTTAAATATGGGTACCTCAACCAACAAAAATCTTGACGCAATGTCAACTTTCTAATTTCTGGAGATATTTTTTGAAATTTAAACCAAAGTTTCTTCTAGTAAAGACAAGCATATCGCATATTGTAAAAATCAGATGTACGCGTGCGCAGACGGTGCAATGCTAAGTTTCTTGTTTATAAGAATCTATTTTATGCTTATTTTCCTCTGTACACATAAATAGTCCATTACATGGCCTTTCGGGAACACTACTAATCAATTCATAGAAAATGCGCTAGTTACTCACTTTAAGGCTTGTTTCGTGTTTTTCTTTTATTTTGAGATACGAGACCCTTACAGGAGATTAATTGGAGCCCCACGCTGGGCGCCACTTGCAACACCTTAGTTAGATCTACAGGGGTTATAAACCCCTCTTGCAGAAAATAAATTTCATTATCTACAGCACCGGCACAAATTTTAGCCTAACAATTAATTTTTTGTCATGAAATAATTGATACCACGGCTAGCTCAGTAATGAATAAATTTTCCATGACTCATACTGTACGGAAGGTCTTTACTTTCACTTACAGTCTGAAAATTAAAATCTGATGCTCTGGTTTTATCACTCTCAAGTAAATATTCATATGAATTGGCTGGTTGGAAAATAATCTCGTTCCAACTCCAGTTTTCTTTACATTTTTTTGTAATTGAAAATAGTGCAGTACCTACTTTAGGTAACCAATGCAAATTAAAAATGTAAACCTTGTCTCGCGATCACGTCCAAATCTAACTAACTTCGAAAATTTGGCCTTTCTCCCACCCAACTTTTACTTATGTACTCGCCGAGCTCCAGTGATGAAACGGACCCACCGAAAGCCAAGTTTACATGCTCAGGTAGCCTCATTCACCGCCACGACAGTTTTTAGGACCGGCAACACTGTAGCCTTTCGACTCTTGTTAAACACTCATTTCTTATCTTAACGCGCTTTATTTTTTCGCCGATTAGTTCCGTTCTCTTTTTTTATGAAGCGTTGCAGGTATACAATTTCCTATACTGGCAAATTTCTAAATAAAAAAAATCTTTAAATCTTAAAGCGACCACAATTGCTTAATTTCCGTCACCACCAAGAGACGAATGATATTTGAGTTTTACCATGACCCATGGCATGACCATGGCGAGCAATCGTGAACTGGTCCAGATTCGGCCTCGTTACACTATTTGTTTTAAAAAATGTACAAACAAAATTGTTCACTTTGAAATTTGAAAATTAAAAGTAAAAAAAAAGTATTTACAAAATAAAAAAAACTTTGAATTTTTTTAATCCATTTTTAACTTTTAATCTTTTAGATTAAAATGCACAGAGTGTCCTTTTTAAAAATGAAATTGCATCCGATAACTTTTTTGACCCGACTCTGTACACTTATTTTGGAAACGGCAGATTATTCAACAATAAATAAAGAAACTTTTGTAATAAACATTTTTCTGTGTCTCTTTTAACTAAGAATACGTAGGAGGATTCTAATCACGAACTTATAAATTAAGATGGACTGCTGATCAAACAGTTGCATAGAGGTAGAAATGGCCCTAGAATGGGCGCCGCCATGATGTGCACGTTTTAGTTATTTTCTAGGGAATTTTTCCTAGTGCTTTGAGAGTGTTTTGAGACTATTGCAGCCTTGGAAAATGACATGTCTCACAGTAATTTATTTAGAAAACGTGAGGTTAATGCTTGTTTAAAAGTATGGCCCAAAAAGAATACATTAAATTACGGAGTTACCTGGCAAAAGGGGGACACCCTGTACGTGTCATTTGCCCTTTCCAAATGCCAAAGCAAGCCCTGGAAACAGCACACCTTTTGTTCTTTGAACTTGAACTTTCCACGTGTTATTTGACCCTACCGTCACCGTGGAGCCCTTCAAATTAGTTCTCCGATCGGCCACTAACTGGTGGCGCTACCCGCGGGAATTTAAGATTTCAAGGGCCACTCCAACCCTGACATTGCTTTTTGAGTTGTAAATATGATACAATTCCCATTCACACTGAAAACTGTTTCTAAAATAGCATTATTATCTGCCAATCTATTTATAACTGCTAACATTCTTTTTATCACTAGATGATGGCGCCACGATGATGGAAGTCGATCACGATACACGCCAAGTATATTCCGAACAGATGAAGGTTCCGACTGGTTCGTTGGATGTTTTAATTCCAAGCCAAGAGACACTGTCGCAACGGCTCACAACTCCAATAGTTACTACATTTGTCAATACGGATAAGATAAGCTTCGAACGGTGAGGTTTTTTCCTTTCTAAGTCGTCGATACATTTTTTGCCGTAGAAACAAAGCGGGTATTTGGGGTTGGCGATCGGACAAAACTGAAATCGTAAACGGGTACGAGTGTAAAGTGTTTGGTGCAAGTAACGTCGAATTAATAACGAAAACGAGAATGGAACACCTGACCGAGAACGATAAGGCGATCGCCAAGAATAAAAATGGGAAAAGCCCATTGCAAAACTTTCTAGGTATCGCCGAAGTAGAGGAAGAGGCCGCTGCCACTTTGATACCCAAAGTACTCTTGCGTTGTGCTCGATTTCGTCGTGTGTAATCGGAGTTGTTTTAGGAGGAATATGTAAGTATGACGAATCCTTGCAATATCAGTCCTGAGGAGTATTTCGATGCGGGCATGAATTTGGAGGGTCGCGATATTGGAAGACCGAAGGAGATTAATACGAAGATTCAGAAGTTTAGGGCGACGCTCTGGTTGTGCGAGCATTACCCTTTGTCATTTCCTGAGCAGATTTTACCCATCGTCGATCTTATGGCTATTTCCAGTTCCCATTTCGCCAAGTTGAGGAATTTTATTCAAATGCAGTTGCCTTCGGGATTTCCGGTTAAAATTGGTAAGTAGGCGGAGCTTCGATCCAGGTTACGGTGTAGTATGCCAATCTATTTGGTTGAATGTAAAAATACTTAACTTGACAGCTATTGTGATCGTTTTTGTTAATTGCACTATTTGAAGTAACAAGTAAAACGGTTTTCGTCCTAAGGTGAGTAACTTCAGCGCATTTTCCATTAATGATCATTACTTCCCAAAAGGCCATAGCTATGTGCGCTGTGATTTTCTTTACTAGAGGCATATATTATTTCAAAGAAATATCTTGATAAATAAAGAAGTTGGCACTGACTGCGCATGCGCACATCTAATTTTTGCAATATCAGTTTAAAGGAGATAACTATAGCCAAAATAAAGGCAAATGACGACTTTATTACAAAGTCGGGAAATTCCCTCAAAGCTATGTGGACAATCATCAATACCTATAATAAATGCCCAAGTGTACTACGTACAATATTATCTTGTACTGATTTCAATCGTTTCTTTAGTAGTAACGTTGATGAAATATTAGCTAGTCTGCCTGACAGTGTCAATGATCCTGTTACTTATTGTAGATCCTATCAAAACACTTATCTCTTTGAATTCAAAAGCGTATCTCAGATTGACATTCGCGACGCGATCAAAAATTTACGAAATAGTAACTCTAGAGACATATTCGGTTTAAGCTTAACATTGATTAAACGTAACATAAGTGCCTTTGTGGAACCTCTCACTAAATTGACAAACCTGATCATTGCGACAGGAGTATTTCCCGATATTTTGAAATTAGCGTTAGTCATACTCCAATTAAAGAAAGGGCTAGATAGTAATGACACTGATAGTTACAGACCAATTTCCAACCTCCCCATTTTTAGTAAAATAATTGAAAAGGTGCTCTATAAGCAAATAGTACACTTTTTCGAATTTAACAATATTTTCTATCGCCATCAGTATGGATTTAGAAAAGGAAGGTCTACTTCCGATGCAATCACTTCTTTTACTATCAGTGTTCTAAACTGCTTCGAGACCAGACAGCATACGGTTGCTGCTTTTGTGGACCACTCCAAAGCTTTCGATTGTGTGTCACATGACATTCTAATACGCAAGCTTGGAGAGGTTTACAACTTCAGCAGCGTCAGTCGATCACTACTTGCTTCATATCTGAGCAATAGATATCAATATGTCATCTTTAATAATGTCATTTCCGGGAAATTACCGATTATGCATGGTGTACCCCAAGGGTCCATTCTTGGCCCATTGTTATTTTTAATTTATATAAATGACCTACCTGCATCTTTGCCATTAAAGGTGAAATGCATATTGTATGCCGATGATGCCACACTGATATCTACTGATCAAGTGCTTGACGCTGCGTATTCAACTATAAAGGAAGGCGTTGCTGCTGTCTCGGAGTGGTGCACGGACAACAAATTAAAATTAAATGCATCCAAAACTACTATTATGCCTCTGTCCTTAAAGAAAGGTGTTATTGAAATTAGTTGCCAGTCAATCTCTTTTTTGGGGTGCAACATTGATTCAAAATTGAATTTCAAATATCACTGCAATAGTGTAAGTAAAAAATTAAATAAATCAATATTTTTACTTACTAGATTGCGTTATAATACCTCCATTAATATTACTACAAGTGCCTATTTTGCCTATGCCCACAGTATTATGTCATATGCCATACTAGCATGGGGTCATAGCTCCCATTGGCATTGCATTTTTAAACTCCAACGTAGAGCTATTAGGGTCATATCTTGTCTTGGTTATAGGGACGAGTGTCGTAAGGCATTTATTGATCTAAGAATTTTAACTCTTCCCTGTATTTATATCCTTTCTGCAGTGTGTTACGCTAAGCAAAATATGTTTACTAATGTACAACAGTCAAAAGTTCACGACCATAACACTAGACTCAAGGGCAATATTCGCACTGACCTTTGCAGATTAGCAATATCTCAATTTGGTATACGATATCAGTCCCAATTTTTGTTTCATTGTCTCCCAGTTAATATACAATCATTACCTTTCTCTATATTCAAATTAAAAATTAAACAAATTCTATTAAGTAATGCTTTTTATTCGTTCGACGAGTTTGTTAGTTATTGTAAGTCTTCTCCGTTCATATACACAATGTGATTGTAACTATACGTCCGTTTTATTGTTTATTGTTTATGTACCTATCTTTGTTGACAAGTGTAAGTGTATAAACACAACACACAATAAAATATTATTATTATTATTATTATTATTATGTTTGCCTTTAACAGAAGCGTCTGTGATTAAAATTTCATAAAGATATCTCGATAAATAACAGTTGATACTGCGCATCCTGGGCATGTGCGCATTAATCTGATGTTTACAATATGCGATACGTTTGCTTACACTAAAAGCCTCTTTGGACAAAATTTCAAAGATATATCTCCATAAATAAGAAAGTTGCCATTGCGCAGACTGCGCATGCGCATATCTGGTTTTTTCTATATGCGTTATGTTTGCCTTCACCAAAAGTATCTGTGGTTAAAATTTCCTCAAAATATATTAATAAATAAGGAAGTTGACATTGTGCAGTTTAATTGTCAAGATTTTCCTTGTCTCAGGTGCCAGAGCTTATACGCTACTGAATGCACAAAGAACGAACTTAATATCTTGAAAACTGTAGGAGTAATTAAGGCCTCGAACAAGCGGACGGACAGAGAAAGTGGCTGCAATACCGCACTCAACTTCGTTGGAAAATGCGCTAAAAAAGTAAATACAGGGTTCTGCATTGGTCTTTCCTAGCTCATACCTGGTAAAAGATATCAAAAAACCTTTTGTGCAAATGTCAACCATAGTTGGTTGCGGTTCTACAGAAATTATTTTTGAATGTACAGGGTGTCAATAAACAACTGATTTTTTAATGGAACGCCCTGTATATTTTTAGTTGTTTCGATGTCATTATTTAACCTCTGCATGGAAACCTGTTCACTTTTTGGTTTTTTGTCAATGTTACCAAATTATTAATGTTTTTGGAATAATTCCCCATAAGCAAGCCCCGCTTTGATCAATAATGCTAATCTGAATAAAAGGAAACACTTTGGTAATGAGAAAGGTGGATTTAGTGATACAGGGTGTTCACAAAAAATTCAAATTTTTTTCAAATGGAATTGCCACTATTTTATTTCTCTATTCGATAGTCTTTTGTGTGCTCTTCAATTTTTATAAGGGGTGTCCTCTGCCTAAACCCCGTAGTTTTTAGGTTATTCAATATTTTTCTCAAAAATAGTTACACATTAATCAATTCTATGGTTTTTTATTATCACGGCCTACTCCTATTTATAAACATGTAATTAACTGTTGTTGTGAAAAATATTGAATAACCTAAAAACTACGGGCCTTTACGAAAATAACCAATTCTCATTATGAAAAATGGACGGTTTTGGCCGTACGGGTAAATTTTCATTTTTCGAATTTTGCATACCTTTACAAAAAATTTCATTAATATTGAAGGCACTCGCACCGTTGTCACGACGTTTGAAAGAAGAAGCATGGAGCTATCGTATTCCTCTTTGTCCGCCATACAAATCTCAAAAGGGCGTACATAAAACTTCGCCAAAGTAAAAATTAAAATTTACTGAAATTGACACTTGGTGGTGAAATTCTTTGGACTTATGTTTAATAAACTTTTCGCTGAAATCGACGTTAAACTACGAGATGCGAGCCGACCGACACGCATCCGAACGAGGCACGGCGCCAGGCGTATATTTTATCAAAATAAAAAAATCTTACCAAAGTCGTAAAATATGTACCAGGTGACCCAATAAGACTGTTCCTCGGCCATATCTCGGGAACCGTTCGTCGTATGACTTAGGGGTAAAAAAATTATTGTGTAAATCGGTTTTAGTTTTAAAAATGACCACCAGAGGGCGTAACTGCCATCTTAAATTTTAAAATTGCATTTTCTTTAAATTTTGCATAATAAACTAAACATTGTTTTTTCACATTTTTAAAGAGAACCAGTTTATCTATCATTTTCGTAAAAACAAAAACTCAGTTATTCCAAAAACAAAGATGGCGTGGGGCGTTCAATTGTTTTTGCAATAACCTGCTTTAACTTCTTAACCGTTTGACCGATTGTAACAAATTTGGTATCGTTAAAAAGAGCATTCCTTGGGCAACAAGAATCAACCAAAATATAGTTAATTTAGTTGAATCCTTCACCGCCAGGGGGCTATTTTGACACTATGACCAAAAATCCTAAAAAAATCAAATGGAATGATAGATTTTTTCCTTATGAAAAAGTAGCCAAATAACATCCAAAGAGGTGTGAAAACCGTTTTTCAAAATCTCGTTTCTAACCTCAAATATTGGGAAAATGAGATTAATTAATTAATTAATAAAAATGCTTAAATTGTATCTTGGCGCGAAAGAAAAGGTAGATTCTCATTGCCCAAGGAATGCTCTTTTCAACCATACCAAATGTGTTAAAATCGGTCAAACCGTTAAGTAGTTAAAGCAGGTTATTGCAAAAACAATTGAACGCCATACACCATCTTTGTTTTTGAAATAACTGAGTTTTTTTTACGAAAATGATAAACTGGTTCTCTTTAAAAATGTGAAAAAAAATGTTTAGCTTATTATGCGAAATTTAAAGAAAAAGCAATTTGAAAATTTAAGATGGCAGTTACGCCCTCTGTTGATCATTTTCAGAACTTCTCGAGATATGGCCAAGGAACAGTCTTATTGGGTCACCGGTACAGTACACATTAAACCGAAACTAACAAAGTCTCTGCACTCCAATCTTGTAGTTGTTTACAAATTAAAAAAATTTAACATAATAATACATTCAATTCGTTACACGTTTTTATAAAGTATAAGGAAATGATTAAAAAATATGTGTAAAGTTGAGACAGAGTCGTCGTGTGCAATCCATAGCATGAAACAAAACAAGATTTACATACACTTGCGCAATAGACAACTTTCGTATTCGAGGAGCAATTTGATCGAAATTTTCTGGTTGGCTCCTCTAATAAAAGTAAACAAAAAGAAAGTGCCGAAATCGTACTGCTCATGCGCAATAGAACAACTTTTTTATTTGTGGAGTAATTTGATCGACATTTTTACGGTAGCGGTAGGTTACCTTAATAGAAGCCAACCAAATGAAAGTGCAAAACATCATATAGCGCCCAATATTAATTACACCCCAAAACTGAAGACACAAACGTAAAATACCCCGTTTTTGGCGCTATTTGTGCGAAAGATACACACTCTAGCGGAGTCTTTTTTCACCAACCTATACCATGAGATTGGCTAAAAAAGAGACTACCAATAGATTAGCGTTTTTTTTTTTTGCAAAATTCCGACACTTAAAATCAACCCTAAGTACCTTATAATATCAAGAAATAAAATGTTACATAACAATAAAACAGTATAAAACGGAGACTGCTGGGCTCCAAAATGGCGGACGAGTCTGCTATCTTAATTAAGTATTGTAACTAAAACTCCAAGGTTTATGACCTTCTCCCATTACGATAATGCTTAAGAGTTATGTGTGAATATCACCAAGTGTTCTACGTGGTTACTTTTTGTTTATAACCAAAAAGGTTGGCAGCAAAATAATTTCACTGTAAAACGCAAACATACTAATACGTTTTCTTCTCTCCCAGAAATCCCTCTATTCCATGTTCTAAATGCAAGAATAACATTCGGCAATATTTTTGCGATGGACAGCAATGTCCCTCTCATAAGTAGAGTTAACGAAGACGACCACGTGACTTGCATCGTTGACGAAATGGCCTTTCAAGCACCACCCGATTACACAGAGTTTGGTAATGGTAAAGTCCTTTGTTTTTTTTTAGTTCCTTTCGTTAGCGTTCTTTGATATGGTTATAGTCAAGTTTCTATACTAAGCGGGTCTATTTCAGTTGAGGCGGATATTAGGAGACAGTACAGTATGGAGGAGGAAGATGATCTGCTTCAGTTTGCCATCCAGCAAAGTTTGATCGAGGCCGGCACCGAGACGGAGGAGGTTGACATTTGGGAGGCGCTAAAAGCTCAAAAGCCATCCAGGCCTAACACGCCCAATATGATCGGAGAGGAGGAACGCCAATTGCAGAGGTAGGTGGACTGTGGTAGGACTTGCGTTTGGTATTTGTTAAATTGTAGAGCGATTCAGGCTAGTTTGGCTTTGTATCAGCATAATGTAAATAGTATCGAATCAGGAATTAATAGTAGTCCCGAGACAGACTCTGACCTTCACATGGCACTAATACTATCAGAACAAGAACGGCAAAAAGACGAACAGCGACAACTACAGGAACAGCAACTATTAGAAGAAGTATTACAATTATCCTTGACGGAGAAGTGACCAACCGTTTATTTGTTTTATACGTAATTATTTTTATGGTACGTTTGGCAACGCTGTGTCATTCACGTCGACTGTTTTTCTAGGTAATCTACAACTTATGGTCTTGTATTTCTGTGTAAGAAAAGGGAAGTGTTTGTGAAATAAGTAAGTTACAAACTCCCTCCATTAATAAATTTAAACACTGACTATAATATTCAAATTACATAACGCATTTATAATTACACTGAAAGTTATGTTACTTGCATACTAATTTCGTATGGTTCTACCAAGTCTGGGCACGAAGACGTTCCATTGGTACTTACTATCAGATTATGTTGCACATTTAGTTACCTATTTTACGAATTCAAATGTTACTTTGAACTGATTTGATTTTCATATGTATTTATTCTTTGTATTCGGAGATTAAAATTATTATTAAATGTTGGCCGTTTTCATTCACAATGTTGACCCTCTGAGTTTAGTGATCTACTTTCGATCTGACAATGCAAAAAAAGGGTAGGAACATGATAATGGTCAGGTGGAGAACAAGCGTGGAAAGGTAACTTCTTTGGGGGCAAAATTGTCCCTTTTTGGGACCAAACAGACGCATGTAAAATTTTTTGAAATACTTTGAAATTGACTGAGGTATCACCGAAAAACTAAGAATGTCAAATTTCATGTTCCCTACCTTACCTTTCTTTCGGAGAATCTGTTATCAGCATTTCCAGAACACGTTATTTGTAGATAAGCTACTTTCTTATGGTCGCCATATTGGATTCTTACGGAATGAGAAAGAACAAAGAAAAATAATGACTTGTCACACCCTACATTTTTACATAAATTTAGAAGAAAAATTTCAAAATCTAACGTTTTACATTCATTTCTCAACAAAACATCCGCGGTTGACTAGATCTTGCTGAATCCACAAAGCTAAGAAGGCGCAATGTATTCAAATAAATTTGTTTCTTGTCCTCTACCTCATTCTATAAATAACCAATATGGCGTTGATAAGAAAGTGGTAGCCTGTAGCTTCTACATCTGGCGTGTTATGATTCTGATAATAAATTCATAGAGAAAATTTGAACCACCCTGTATATTGCAAATATGTACTATAATAGGGTCCCAACATGCAATTGCAATGTGTGCATGTTCCCAATGTAACTTGACATGAGGTTGTATAGTAAAAAACAAACATGATACCTAATAAACTTATATTTACAAATTACTACAAAAACATCGTACCCGTTTAGTTTTTAAACAGATCGCTAACTTTAACGCCAACATTAGAACTACGTTCCGCATCGGTAAACGATTGAACTAAACTAACAGGCTCGCTTTCTTCAGGTTTATTTCTCTCTTGCTTTAAAAATTGAATTGTTTCTGAATATAAAACATCTTCCGAAGCACTTCCGTTATACTGTTCATCTAATCTTTTATATGTTTCGATGAAACGTCTAGTGAGAGTCTGCGATTTATTATTGAACATATTTGTAGTGCCGACGAATTTATTCCTATTATGTAGTAAACTAAAATTGTAATAGATGAATTGGGGAACCTCGCCAAGGGGATATTACGCTCTAATTTTGTCCTCCTCGTAGAAGATCTTCTTTAAAGTAATGTTCGGCGCGGGTCTGTCGAAACGGGGCTCCTCCAATGGGGGAAAGGCTTCGTATAAGTCATACCAAAGTGGCCTATCGTCCCAATGTATGGCAGTTGATTGGAGTAAACCTTTAGTTCTACGATTTTCTACAGTTAATTGGTTAATGATTTCTGTACAGATTACCTGCTGTAAATCGTTCCGATTTTTTCTAATCGACTTCTGGCCATAACGAGTTTATTTATGGAAACATAACCTAGAAGTTAAAATTAAATTTGCATTTGGTGGTGTATGTGTGCCCGGAGTGGTAGCAATCCAGGCCGTTACTTTTGCCACCGTGAACGCTCTCTCATTACGGACTGTGATATGATACCGGGTGAACAATTAAGCATGTCAAAGAAAATGAGTGAAAAACTTGATGGGTTCTACCTATACTTTATTCATTTTAAGATGGTAGCAATAGAAAACATAGGGAAGCTTTGACCTTCACTGCGATTGGTTAAAACACGAGTCAGTATTTAACCTGAAAAATAACATGACCGACGAATTTTGTTTTGTAGTAGTGTCGGTTGCCAATTAAACTCTCATTAGAAGTCAATGTTAAAGATCCAAGCGTGAAATCAATTGATTTATTTTATTATTTGATCATTCCGAATATAATATATATTGATTACATTAACGTAAACACGATACTGGCCAACGATATAAAACAGTATTTTCCATCACTTTTAATTTTGCACAGAAATAATCACCGGTAATCTTTTAAATATCTTGGAGGTCTTCGATTCCTGCGAGCATTAAAATTTATTCTCAATAGGTCCACAATAATCCGCGGTGTAGAGGCTAATATAATTGAAAAGGGTGTCGTATTTCTTGCAGAATGGTGTTGGAAGTCACTTATCTTATGAAACTCGAGGTAGTCCAACCAGAATCATCAAAGGCGAATATGGTCAGAGCTATGGATCAAAATCAAGACAAGCGTCATGTAACATTTGTTTTTAAAAATGTCGAGAGTACGAACGCTTCTTCCGTTACAGCCATCTTGGTTTGAACTGTGGATGAGAGAACATCGTGTAGTTTAAGTTTGTTGTTTTTTTGTGCTATGCATAATGCACGTTTGCATTTATTACAATTTCTTTGTGTTCTTTTATTTATTTTATGTTTTTTATAACATTCCATCTCTGTCTTTAAAAAAATGTATACGATTGTGTCAATGCTGGATCACGTACGTGATTGAAAAATGACCTTAACTTTTATTATTTCAAACGGTTATCATTCTTGGTGTACGGAAACGGTAGTAATTTCCCTAAGTGGGAACGAAAGCACAAACCATTAACGGCATATATTGGGGAACAAGATGGAGGAAAAACCCCAAAGCGCTTTTATCATTAACGGGGGCGAAAGGAACGAATCGGAGGCTTACCCTGAAATAAACAGTAGGTATGTAAGGTCAAATCCGAAAATTCACATGCTGACCCAAAAAAAAATTCCCTTTAAGCAACGGTTTCATATTTTATAGAATTTGAACATTTGGGGAAGAACCCGGTGGTTTTTCCAGCCGGCGCGACGTACTCGGGTGGTAATGTTCAAAAATTAAAACCTTTAATTAATTACTCAGTCTCCTCTGTTATCATAAAAATCCAGGACCAGTCTTAAAATTCATGCTACTTTGACACTAAACACAACCTAATCAGACGAGGTTTGCTGCAACACACCATTAGATTAATTATGCTCACTCAAATGGCCGGGCTGAATTTTTCGAGTTCGGTAGTCCGGTTAACACCCATTGACTTAAAATTCTCGAGTCAAGCGAGATGTCTGTTTAATATCTATCGTACTACGGCGACGTTGTCCGTTTCTATTCTAGTTTTAAATTAGCATAGTGAACGGAAAAAATACAATATTAATTTTGTCTCGGCTTCCAATAAAGGACGAGAGATTTCGGAAGCTGCAAGAATAATTAAAATATCTCTACGGGAACAATTAGATACGGCGTCTTGTTTTCCTTATCGGCGGATAAAACGCACTACAAATTAAAGCACTTAATTCTACACTTTATTGTCACCTCTTGGAATATAAATAAGTATGTCTAGAAGTTACAGTTGTTTAGTAATGAAGCGCCCGTTCGATTTCATCCATGTACCGGGTGTTCATTAAGCTGGCAGATTCCGTATGCGAAAACGGGTGCTTCGTTACGTAGGTGGAACTGTATATCGAGCTTCACGTCACAAGTTCAACCCGCAGAAGTTTGTGCCAGTGTCGATAAAGCAAACGAACCCTTCTGCTCTATCATCAACGCTGGGTACACCTCTGCAAGGAATACGTCCGTTCCTAGCTTATACTTCCGAACTGGGTATCAAAGTACCTGCTGACACCGAGATATTGCATCGCTTACTGTTCGAAACTCGGAAGTAAGCTTCTGCCCTGTTGGCCGTTGGATCAAGGATTATTATTCCAAGTACCGCTATTTTTTGTTGCCAAGGAACGATCACACTCTCGATCATCATGGTTGGTTGGTCGGAAATTCGATAATTAATGGTGATATACGTTAAACTCTGAAGGAATATGGCGTAACCCAAAGACTTACTGCTACCTAAACATATTATTTGTTTTCCCTTTTGAAAACTGTGACTTTTCAAACTTTGTAATGGAGAAAGACGCTTTACTCGGAAAAAATCCGAGAAACCCGCTTCGGTCAGCTTGAATCGTCATGAAAAAGACTTGACTGTGTTATTTTTTCCTTGACTTTCTCCTTTTCGTTTTTCTCATATTAACCAACCACAGAATGTATCTCCCAGTGTATATCCAAACAAATTAGGATTTAATATTGACTTCCTTAGAGCTCTCCGAAAGCGAATGTTTCTTTCATAATCTGAAATACACAAACTTGGGAATAGCCGAATATAGCAGTACTCTAACTCACAATAAAATAGCCTAGTGGTAGGTACTCTTCATAGGGACAGGTACAGGGATCTTTTGAGTCTCGCGGAGCAGGAAACTTTAGTGAAAGGTATCAATTATCTACGCAGGTTTATAAAAAAATACTTCATTCAATTACATATATAAGTTTCAAGTTTGAGCCATGTTGTAATAAATATAAAACTATCACAGAAAGTTTACATAAGTAGCAAAAAGCATACAATTTTACAAACTGATCGCCTCTTTTTCGTTTTTAATATTATTATTAGACTCTACGTATGCAAAAGGTTTGTAAGGTACAAATGCAACTATGAAAAACGCACTTACAATCGAAATGCAGGAAAACAGGAGAAAAGCTACGTACAAGGAATAATTGTGATACAAAACCTGAAAGATTTTTGTAATAATAATGGCAAAAGCGGAAAAGCACATTATTTGAACTTTGGATACAACGTTTCGAGCACGCGCGGGGAAATAATCCGGAATTAACATAGTAGGAACTACAGCTAATCCAATACTGTGGAAAAATATATATAAACACAAGGAAACTAATGACGTGTACTTCCAATACGTTCTGTTAAAGTCGTAATAAAATGTGCAGACGTTTAATACTAAAGTGGCGCTTACGGCGATGTTTGAAAATAATAAACAATATTTTCTATTGAATTTACTACAATAAAATACGCCTATAAGATTGGAAATAAAAAATAGAACGATATATCCTATGGCGCACAACTCAGCATAGGGAAGTTGAGTGGCTCTTAGAGTCATTTGCGCGTATACTACGGTAGCGGGCGCGCCAGTAAACTGTTGAAAGAAAGTGAGGAGCACCACGACCGCGAAAGGCTTTCGCAGCTTCTCCTTTCGTAGCATTTGAAAAATACTGAAATTGTCCGCTTTTAACATAAGATCCAAGTTTAATTTCTGCATTTCAAAATCGATCTTAGCGTCCGACTTTAAGTACTTAATCATCGTCTCGGCCTCCTTCGTCTTTCCGAACCGCAAGTATTCTCTGGCCGAGTGCGGCAGAAATAGAGATATTGCAATTAGAACAGCAGTCAAAATCATCACAGCCAATGAAAACGTGGTAAAACTAAGAAAGTAGCCCAAAATGTAAGCAATAACTACGCCAAAAAGCGCGTAGAAGTTGATACATTTGCTTAAGACCTGCGCCAGTTGCGGTTCGCACAGCTCCTTGATGTATATCTTGAGCTGACCAGCGGCGTATCCGAAACTTAAACCGATTATAATCCTACTACTTAACAGATAGTATATATCGGCGGCAAACCACATTAGGATCCAACCGACCAGCATTCCGCACAGGCCCAGAATGATCCCGTACTTGGTACCGAAAAACGAGCCGTCCGAGATCAGCGTTCCGAAAATGTTTCCGATCATCAAGAAGCCGGCCACCATTGCGGTTTGGTCCATCGAGATCGGTATTGGACTTGTTAGCGCTAGCAGCTTTGGATAGGTTGGAGACGGCCATCCGAGCATTATGCCAAATGGTAGGCATATTAGGGAAGCTGAAACAAAATGAAACGTGTAACTAAGTTGTCTAGAAGATTTGGCAAATTTTTCGTATCTCGCCAAATAAAATAGATACTGAGTGACCCTCTCGGCTTCTTATCTCGAACACAGTGTAGGTACATAGGTACATTAGTATTTTGAAAATTGGGGATCTTCGAAAAATTGCTACTCCAAGATGAAAAACATAACTCGAAAATAATAACGTGAACACCCCGCATCTAAAAACGTTTTACATTGGCTGAAAGTATTAATTGTGTTGACTCTAGAAGTTGAAGATAGAAAGCAAAGGGTAATTGATTTAATTTCTAGAGTTGTCTTTCAGTCGCAGTTGCCGTAAATAAAAACTGTAATTAATTCGTCGTTTGCAACCGTTCCCGTCAAGATATTTCAATTATCTCCGTTGCGTCTGAAAGCTTTTGTCATTTAGCAAACGAGGGCGAATTAATACGAGTGTTCAGATCCGTTAATTCATTATTAGCCGGTTTTAGTTTCCTATGGTAATTTAAAACGAGGATTAAAACTGAAAATCCGTACGCCGCCGCTATTCGTTTCATAAGAGACTTTTTGCCGACCTTAGAAACTTAAGAGCCAATGGGTGTTAATTAGGATTATGAATTTAAAACTATTATCCCGCAAATTAAGTAAGTGTAATTAACGGCAGCTAATTAAATGAGATGTAGTAAACACATCCGATTAATTTTTTTATAATTTCTGGTCTTTATTTGTAAGCGGGCGGGTTTTCGGCCAAGGCTGCTCTTCTTTCAACCCAACCGATACCCGAACCCGGGATCCCAAAAGAAGCGCTCTTAATTAATTTCAACTGTTATGACCAACTACAGATTTTTAGGACGCCGCAGGCCGCACAATTAATAATGGAAGTTTGAATTTTTGGATGTAGGTAACCGAATACGGTGTGTGAGCTGGAAAACCGTCGATCCTTCCATGAAATACCGAATTTTATAGAAGATAAAGTGTTGTTTAGAAAAAATCTTTTGCCTTTGCTGTTTTGCTAGTTAATTTGTAAGTATCGTATTAATTTTGGATATTTTCCGTAAAACTTATTTTACATTAACCGCATCATATTGACCGCTTTTACTTTTTATCGTACAGAAATCTCTACAGCTCCGTATAATCGCAAGGTAAGCTTTTAACTACTTTCTGTTTCATTAATTATAAAGGGGGACATTGTTTCACTTTCCTGCGTTTGATTTCCCGTAGCTACCGCCAATTAATTTTGCCTGCAGTTCCGTTAGTGAAATCGCTACCGTGTCCATGTGCCGTAATTCTGCTTTCAGATCCGTCGTCAGAAACCGATGGCCGCTGACCGCAAGATCCCTGGCGATCGTTTCTCCGACGTGTTATCTGTGGCACCCGTTTCGCAGCAATTCCGAAACTTTGTCTAGCGGCAAGTCCATATCCCTTGGGGTGGTGCTCAAGTCCGTCCGTCCGGGACGTTCTGTCAGTTTCCGTTTGAGTCGGAAGTTACATATACTTAATTTAATTGTGAATTCTTTGTACTTAATTAAATTTAATTTAAGTAATTACACCGTTTAGTTTTAAATGATCGTCGATTGCGACCGAGCTACCGAAGTTCGTCGCGCACTCTCTTCCAACACCCCATTTTCGAGATATTCGAACTTACTTTACTGACGGATATATGACTTCACCTAACTTTAAATTTTGACCTCACCTATCGATTCCTCGCGTACTTATTTTCCATTGGAAGTGCCCTTTTCCGGCGCCCCATGTTCGAGATATTTTCATTTGATGATTTCACCTTACTGATGAATACATCGTATTTCCCTTTGTAAGTGCCCTCTTCCAACCTTCGTTTTCGAGTTATTACCATTTGAAGATTTGAATCTACCGACGCGACGCGGTGTATCACGTGTAACAGGTGGCCGCTTAAGGCTTAGAAATATTTGGTGTAGAATTTACAAATTTGCAAGTACAGCAAATTTTATAAGTGCATCGCTTCATAGCGAAAAAGAACGAAATTAAAATGCGATAGAATGAGGCGCCTTCAGATAAGAAGCGAGTGTACAGGCAGATACGATTCAAAACGCCACAGCGTTGCCGGTTCTAAAGATCGTTCTTACGGAGCATGAGGAGTGACTTTCTGCTATACCTTTACATGTATAAAAAAATCGTGGCCGATGCTAGATCTGCGACGGGTCCGTTTCAGTAGTTTTTTGAGTGGAAGAGAGTGAGAGAGAAATTCTTCGCTGAACCTTCAAGACGAACCTATATAAGTCGGGCGCGGCATTTTAGATCGCGTAACATTTATTTTCAACTGAATGTTTTAAGACGAATCCGTATAATCGAGTGTTGGATGGTTTAATAGCCGCGTAATCGTACGTAATATTTTCATCGCGAAAGTTTGAAGTTAATTCCCGAATTACAAGGGAAAACTGTGTCGCCAATTCGCCGAAATTATTGTCGTTTGAGCTTTTAAATCCTTTGCGAGTGGCCATCGCGAGTAAAACTAATAAACAACTCCTATATTTGACTATTTGAATTGCAACTCTGGGGGAAATACGCATATAACTGGTTTGTTTTGTTTAAAGTTGTATTACGGTGTTTGTTGTTTTCCATTTACAATTGTTTATAAATGCGTAGTTTTCGTAGTCGTGTGCCATATGGAATTTTATTATCGGGCAAAAGTTAATTAATTTCAAGAAAACGCATATCTGGTGCTGATAACGAAGACGCATGTGTTTCGAAAAATTGCGCGTTTGTGGTGGAGAAGTGGGGACGTTTAGCGCGTTGCGTAGTGGTTGGCGTTTATCTATAATCTGATCGTTATTCGATATTTATTTTTTTTAAGGCAGAGTTTATTTTATAGTGGAAGTGGTGCTTCCGTAGATACTGGACAAAGAACAAAAAAAAAACAGGGCTGCGAGTTTCAGCACGGTTGAAGAGTGTGAACATTTTTTCTTTACGCTCTGAAGTCAGCCCTATTTATCTATTTGAAGACGCAGTTTTTTATAATAAATTTGTGCAGATCCAACCAAAGTTGTGTAAGAAGCTTGACGCGTGTTGTCCGATTACAGAAAAGTTTCGTCGAGATGAAAAAGGAAGCAGTGGTAGTGCACCGCGAGGTCTTTTGTGAAGGTTCTCTTCTTATTAAAAGTTATAAGTTTCTACCGTCCGAATAGCCACTGAAAATTTTCCATCATGTTCATCAAGTCAGTTTTGTTTGTCATCTAATTCTGGTTTATAAAGGAAAGTGAAGTCCAGAAGCTGTCAGCGTTTGTATGTGAGTTAAGTGCCCCTAGCATTGCAAACCTTATACGACCAGATAATTTTCATTATTAAAAAAAACTGTAAAGTAGTTTTAAGATTTATTTTAATTGTCGGCCACCTGCGTGCGGAGTAATATGTAAGCTTTTCTTTCTTTAAGAGATTTTATTTTATTTCGTTCATGTGTTTCAGAATAAATTTTTCTCGTTGTCAATAGATTAATTGTGTATTTATTCAAATCCATTGTACGACCCGTATAGAGTTTTCATGTCAGATTTTTCTTTTCGTGCCAAAGAATTGTCAGGTGTTAATGAAAATTTGTTTTGAATTGATCCAGGCTACCGAGTCTTTCAAATTTTTAATTTAAAGTCAACATTGAGATATTTTTTGCGACGGAAGCCGAAGGTCTACGAGGAAAATAGGTTTTTTTTGTTTTGAGCCAGCTGGAGAGGTGTTTCGTGGGTGGCATATTTTTGTACTGACACAAAATGCAGAAGTTGGTGCACAAATTAGCACAAAACGATCACAGATTAATGTGCACTCATTCGTGAACAATGTGTTCATGTATTTAGGGGAACCACTTCATCCGAAAAATTAGTGATTCTTTAATATTTGATTTCAACAAAACAGATTTTAAACTGCAACATTAAAAAGTAATCAAAACCAGAAAAAAAAACAGAAATTACCTCGGGAGAACAGGATGAAAAGGAAGAAGAGTAACAAGAAAGTCACAGGACTAACAGAAGAATAGGTAGAACAATAACAAACTGGAAAATTCAGAAAACCACCCCATATCTACTAAATTTTAGGAAACTGTAACCATTTTTGTAGCCCGATCAAGAATTGAAATTCGATTTTTGTTATTTTCAAAAATTCATTTTTGTTATTGTTGCGTAGATTTAATTGTGTGATTTATTTATGTAATATTACAAATTTATAACAGGCAAATTTATAACTTACGATTCCGACTTCACTAATAATCACTTCGACATCGATGTTGGAACTGCCATTAAACACGCTTCAATCCTAACGGAAAATTTCTAGAAAAAATCACTGAATCTGTCTTTAAACTTTAGTTAGCAGCGTTGCCACGTTAACTTCAATCGTAGTCAAGCTACAGCTTAGCGATTGTGGTACAACGCACACCGTCCTTAACTCTGAGCTCAGCATGTAAGACGCTGGTGCAACCGAGCTTGAATATTTTCGCAGAGGGCGTATCATATTTCAAGGGAAGAATGCATCGCATCCGCTTTCATTCCTTATCGCCCGTGACTACATTTTTATCGACTTGATGGCGCCCCAATGTCTGGGATACTCGCTACAATATGTTATTATACGAGTTGCCAAATTACGTCGAAACCAGACTGCTGCCGCACCTCCGCTTAAGGGTGTCCCATTTTGAAGTAGCAATGTAATGCAAAATCAAAAAAGAACTAATACAAAAATCTTGGTATAGTCCACCCTTTACAGTTCCTAAAAAAAATTAAAAAAGAAACGCAACATTTGGGATTTTTGAGAACGTAGTTTTAAACCTTCTGTTTATTTGGAAGAGATAGGTACTTTTGTCTCGATTGTCTCCTTCCATTTTTGCTTGTGTATGTATGCACCCTGGTATGTACCCTCTTTCGACGGTTGCTTTTCGAAATCGACGGACACATCGCAATCCTACATTCTTACCCCCCACGTTTTCTTTGTAACTACTTTCTTTCGCCAAACGCCAATACTTGTCGAGATATTCGCATTTACCTAACAATTTTTTTATCCTACCGACGGACACCTCTCGAATAGCTACCGCCTACTTCCCTTTTATAAGTACCCTCTTCAGAAGACATATTCGCACTTGCAATTTTCTTTACTTTCCATTTTCCCTTTGATTCTGGAGTTATACGAGTATAGTAGTGTTGACCATAGTGTAATGGCAAGTACCTACGACTTGTCCAGAACGATCACTTTTCCCGAGCGAGTATCTCCACACTCAGCTTTTGAGATTTTTGATACAGTATGAGTGAACGTACGGAAGCGTAGAAGGGTCACATCTTTTGTATTTTTTTAAATCATGATTTCCGACTTAAATGTCGTAATTTCGACTTATATCTCGTAATTTCCACTTCTATCTCACAATTACGACATATATCTCATAATTTCGACTTAGATCTCATAATTTGGACTTATATCTTGTAATTGCAACTTATATCTCATAATTACGACATCTCGTAATTTCGACTTCGAAATTACCAGATATACCTTATGTCGTAATTACGAGATATGTCGAAATTACGAGATAGAAGTCGAAATTACGAAATAGAAGTCGAAATTGTCAGATATATTAGTCTAAATTACGAGATATGTGTCGTAATTACGAGATATAAGTCGAAATTACGAGATCTAAGTCGAAATTACCTGGTGTATGTATATCGTAATTACGAGATATAAGTGAAAATTACGAGATATAAGTCAAAATTACGAAATAGAAGTCGAAATTGCCAGATATATTAGTCTACATTACGAGATATGTGTCGTAATTACGAGATATAAGTCGAAATTACGACATTTAACTCGGAAATCATGAAATAAAAAAAAAATGACCCTTCTACCATTGTTTAAATACTGCTTCTACACTTCCGTATGAACGTGGATGAAGAATCATTTCCCTTGTCCAGTACTATGAACATTGTTATATGATCGTTATACCATGGCTCGTGTCTAAATAATTGTTAGGCATCATATCAGTTTGGTTGAGAAAACGGTGAAACTCGATTGGTCGTTTTAATTTACCGAAATACTATTTTTCGATACTTCGTACTTAACTGTATAGTGATCGCCCGAGAAGATCATTCATGAGATCAAACAAATTGTAACAAATATTGAATATTGGAAGAGCTTTTTTGCTTTTGTTTAGTACCTAATTAGTTGCGTAATAAAGCAGTGTACACGTACAGTTGCCAGTTTATTAAAAACGATTGTATAATTTACGTAACGCGCACCGTGAGGAAATTACTGAGAACAATTTTATAGACCGCAGGTAGGTAAATGCGGCCTCGGAATAATAAAAAAAATAACTTACGTCTAAAAAGTTTCACAATTGCACTGTATAATTACCAAAAACCGATGGAAAAATTTGCATCATCCAACTCCTGAGTCTTCGTTCGGGCGGCATTTCTTCTCCGCGTTCAAAAAGAAGAGCGCTCTCAATTGCGGTCCCATCCTTAATTATAACGTTATTCTTTGTTGACATTGCCGCACGTTTAATTGCACCTTTATTGATATCCAAACAAAGTCGGACTCGATTGATCCTCGCGCCGCTGCCCAAATCTGTAAAACAGCGTACTCTATAACTTCCGCCCGTACGTCACTAACATTGTTCGCAAGACAAAATGAACTGTTACCGCACAAACGCGCCGAATTTAAGAATTTTCGTGGACAAATTAAGTCCAGTTAATAAATTGGATCTCATTGGTTCCGATGTACGTCCTTGATTTATTTGCGTGATTTTAATTAATTTCTTTTATGTAAGAAGTCGCCAATTTCGTAGTTAAGTGCAATTTCGCTTGGGAACACCATTGTAGAAAATTTCAAATATATTGCTAATGGGGTAATTTGTTGCGCTTCAATTAGGGATAAATGTATGTAATGTAATCAATTTACGATTTAGTCGAAGAGGCAATTTAAGAATTTTGTGACGTAACATGGTTGCGGTTTAATTAGCAAATGCTGCAATAACGTTACGTTGACAGCTTTTAGTATTCCAAAGTTCAGCTTGTCTCTTTTCCGTTGGGAAATTTATAGACCAACCGTGGAAATTTTTTGAAATAGGTCCCTGCTGCCCCTTGGTTAGGTTGGCACCTGAGAGCCTTGACCTGCCGAGTAAGTCGGAAAAGTCAAAAGACACTGCACAATGTAGGTAGGTACAGTACCATTGTTTAAAGCAATGACCTTACTTACCTTACCTAGTATTAGGTATCTTGAATTCTTGACAATGATGAAAATACGATGCACTCATACTTTACATACCACAAATTTTAGTTGCGATATTCGCTCTGCCGGAACTCAATAAGGAGAAAGTATACCTACATTTTTTGTTTGAGATCATGTTTGTACCTATAGCTAGTGCCAGGTCACCGTACACGCTAAAAATGGGGTAAATATATAGCTTTGACTCGTTTTTTTTTAAATTTATAGGTACTATTGGACAATGCAATAAAGACAATAGGTACAACAAAAATACATTTCACAATAAGAATAACCACTTAATTACTTTATATTGTGTATCTCATTATAAGGATTATGGACACTCATCATTTTTAGTGAAGGCAAGTTATTTTTTTAATGCACGTGTATAAGATTAAAAACTTTCTAATGTGTAGGTACGAGGGTCCGTTTTTGTATTCCCGGACTAAGCATAAAAACAAAAGACTATAGTAGTCCAGGAAATAGAGACTGAAAATGGACCATTTCCTGCAAAACGAGAAGTAGTTCCAATTTTTTTGCATGTCATGAAAGAATATCTGGTGGTTAAGAATCCAAGTTTTCGACCTCCCACCCCTTGTGCTTCCCCCGTACCACCCTTAAAACCAAAGAAATTTGGTTGGTTTTTTAGTTTTTCAATCATATCTTTTTATAAGTTCATTTTACAAAAAAATATTGTTATCAGAAATTGTAGACCATAAAATTCTACACAACTTTGATGTACACTACTTTTTTGTGAAATGTTTATTAACAGCGATATAGAGCTTCAGAGTTGCTTATATTTTTAAGAACTCTAAAATTTGTATGTAGATGTTTTAACCAAAATTTTATACTTTATCTCTATAATTAAGAGTTTTATGAGAAGATATCTTCAACTTATCGTGGCATAAATACCCTTACGCTGCACCCTTACCAAAGGGGATGCATAATAATTCAACTTTCAACCCTTGCTAGTGGGGATATTTGAATCACTGTGAGATTGTAGGGTTTTCTAATATACGTTTGAAACAAAAAAATTATCTCACTTCAGTTCAGCTTCATCCTTCAAATCCTTCATCCCCCCGCCCCTCCCCCCAACCGCGGTAGGAATAGATATTTAAAGAGGAATAGAAAACATATATAATAAGCGTTGTACTCTCTGACTAACTTCACAATCGCCACAAGAGCGTTTAAATATCTATTCCTACCGCGCGAGGGGAGGGGGTGAAACTGAACTGAAGTGAGACAATTTTTTAATTTCAAAAGTATATTAGAAAGCGCTACAATCTCACAGTGATTCAAATATCCTCACTAGCAAGGGTTGCAAGCATGGTTGCAAGTTTCATTATTATGCATCCCCTTTGGTAAGGGTGCAAAGTAGAGGGCTTTACACCACAATAAATTCAAGATATTTTCTCATAAAACTCTCAATTATAGAGATAAAGTATGAAAGTTGGTTAAAACATCTACATAGAAATTTCAGAATTCTTAAAAATATAACCAACTCTCAAGCTCTATATCTTTTTTAATAAACATTTCAAAAAAAAGTAGTGTATATCAAAGTTGTGTAGAATTTTATGGTCTACAATTTCTGATAGCAATATTTTTTTCTAAAGTGAACCATTAAAAAGACATGATTGCAAAACTAAGAAACCAACCAAATTTCAGGGGTTTTGGGGGTGGTACGGGGAAGCACAAGGGGTGGGAGGTCGAAAACTTAGATTCTTAACCACCAGATGACTGTCTGTGACATGCAAAAGAAATTGGAACTACTTCTCATTTTGCAAGTTAAAACCCTCTATTCCCTGGACCATAGAGCAACAACAAAATTTTATTTTCGATATAGTTCCACTGCTTTTGAATACAGGTAGAACGCCGTTTCAATAACATCTTTAATCCAGTATAAAAATATTAATTTGGTTGTTCCGAAAAATGGTACTCAAGAGAATTCGTCACTGTCTGTAAATTTTGTCCCCCTTGACACCTTGCGTCAGTTTTACGCGTTTCTAGCGCCTCCAAGGCAATGCGTCAGGTTTGCATAATACTCTCCCGTTATCGTACTACAGTGATGTTCATTTAAAAGTAGACATAGTCTAGGGCCTACGTGATAAAGACATCTAACTGGACATTTTGGGGTGGAAAAGAAAAAATTGGTGGAATATGTTCAATTAGGTGTCAGAAACAACATATTAAAAATCCCACCCCCCAGAAACCGTGTTTTCGCGCTTTTTTGCTGATATCTCGCGATTTATGAGGTCTAAATGAAATATTTTTACCTGAAAATATTTCTCGTGAAATTTTATACAAGGTAGATACTGAGAAGTTAGCCTAGGTCTACCTCTTAGCCTAGAAAATTCATAAAAGGAGGCGAAAAACAATTTTCGTGGATTTTTGCGGTTTTTTGCAAATATATCGCGACCTTCAGGGCTAGATGAAATATGTTTAGCTGAAAATGCTCTTCGGGCAATTTCATACGAGGTAGGTAACTGAAGAGTTCGCGTAAAGTCACCTTTCACCTTCAACTTTCATGTCTGAGGAAACATTCATTGTAAAACTAAGTAAGAAGTGGAACCCGCAGAGGAGAATGATTCTTCACTTATCTACCTCGTATGAAATTGCACGAAGAGCATTTTCAGCTAAGTATATTTCATCTAAACCTGAAGGTCGCGATATATTTGCAAAAAACCGCAAAAAAAGAACACGAAAATTGATCATTTTCGACTCCTTTTATGAATTTTCTAGGCTAAGACTGCTAAGAGGTATACCTAGGCTAACTTCTGAGTATCTACCTTGTAAGAAATTTCACGAGGAGCATTTTCAGCTAAAAATATTTCATCTAGCCCTAAAGGTCGCGATATATTTGCAAAAAACCGCAAAAATTTATGATTTTCGCCTCCTTTTATGAATTTTCTAGGCTAAGAGGTAGACCTAGGTTAACTTCTCAGTATCTACCTTTTATGAAAATTCACAAGAAATATTTTCAGCTAAAAATATTTGATCTAGACCTCATAGATCGCCAGATATCAGCCAAAAAGGGCGAAAAAACGGTTTCTGGGGGGTGGTGGGGTGGCTGGAGCCTTTTAGCACAGGGTCTGGGGAGTGGGATTTTTAATATGTTGTTTCTGACACCTAACTGAACATATTCCACCAATTTTTTCTTTTCCACCTCAAAATGTCCAGTTTGGTAATTTTACAGTCTCTATCGCCTAGCTAGACTAATACGGATTTGCATGTATTGTTTTCCCTATGTCTACTTTTAAATGAGAAAATCCTTCTAAAGACGCCTAATTTTATGAAACCAAAGTAACTTCTTAAAACTAATGAAGATCTGGCTGTCATATTAATTAATTTAAATTTAATCGCTTTGGAATCCTTATTTTTATTTTTGTTCGTGTGCTATGTATTCAACTGAGGAAAAAGTTGATATTGCCAATTGGTATAGTGCCGATAACCGTTTAAGGAGCAATTACTCTTTACTTTCTGTCTTTATTGTCACTTTTATAAGTACCTACCTACCAACCAACATATCTAAAAAGCAAGGCTATTGACAGTAAAGATATGAATTGTTTTAGTAAGGTGAAATTTTAATTTATCACACCGTTTGCATTAAGCACTTGGAATGCACAAATGCAATATTGAAAAATCCAGACGGCAGTACAGAATGCGTGCGCATGAGTTATTTTGGTTGCATAAAATTAGGCGTCTTTCAGAAGAGATTTTGTCATTTAAAAGTAGACATAGGGAAAAACAATACACGCAAATCCCTATGTCTACTGCTAAATGAATATCACTATATAATCAATTAGCAAAATCTCCTGAGAGTCCCAAAAAATGGTTGTTTTGTAAACTGCCACACAAGTTACCAAGGCATATATGTGATTACAAAAACAGCATAATGAAAAAGTGCACCAAATTCAAAACAGCCCAGTCCGGGAATATAAAAACGGCCCCTCGTATGTCGTGTAGATTCAATTTTCGGGATAGCAGAGATTGGACGCCATTCTCAACAGCTTGGCATGTCGTATGCAACAACTTGGCGTATTAGATGTAAGGATATTGGTTTAAGAGCATACAAAATTCAACTAATGCGAGATCTAAAGCCGGCCGACCGTCCGAACGTTTTAGTTGGTGAGCTCTTGGGCTTGCAGAAGATCCACTTTTTTCGAAAAAAATGTTGTTCTCCAATAAAGCCTATTAAACAAAATGCCCGTAAATGGGGTGATGAGCAACATGAAAAAGTACAACAGCTGCCATTACATCCATACAAAACCGCACTGTTTGAGGTGGTTTATGGGCCGGTGGAACAAACGGTCCATATTTCTTCAAACCAGAGGCCGCCCAGAATGTAACTGTGAATGGCTACCGTGATCGCGCCATGATAACGGAGTCCTTGGTGCCTGAAATTAAAGCTCGTGGTCTCAACGACGTTTGGTTCCCACAAGATGGCGCCATCTGCCATACAACCCGTGAAAGCAAAGAGTATATAACTTAACATACCTACTCTTTCGTGAAAGTATGACTTTACTACGAGAACGGAGATTTCCTGAAAAATTCATATCACGCATTGGACCAGTAAATTGGCTGCCTAGATCAAGTGACATCACACCTCTATTATTTCTTGTGGGGCTACGTAAAGTCCGAAGTCTACATGGATAAGCCGGCTACGATTGAGGCATTGAAGGGCAACATTACTCGAGTCATTGGTCAAATACCACTCCAATAACACCCCGCAGTCGCATAGAAGCAAAAGTAGTCTGATATACAATATAACCTGATGTTACGCGTGCGAAATTATTCCGCGAGTAAAGCACCTAATGGGTACCTGAAACCCTGTTGTTTCTTGTACCGACATTTCCTTTACCCAGAATCGTCATAAAACCTTCATTTTCACGCATACTTTATATCAGGAATTTTAGTTTCCATGGCAGACGACTTTTCTTGCCGCCTGTCACTTTAGTGGCCGCATCTGTCACTTTACCGACCGCACCTGTCACTTTTCGGCCGCACCTGTCACATTACTAAATGCCTACCATGCTGACTGACAGATGGACATTAATCAAAGGTTCTATAAGAAAATTGAAATTTTATAT